CTTCTTGGAAGATAAGCATGTCAAATGTGGGAAAAAGAACCTCAAAAGAAAATGTTGGTATCTCTAATAAGCATATCAAATGCAAATTTTGGCTTAAGAAAGATGATTTAAAATGAGGATGGTATCCCCAAGAATGCCAGGTTCAGCAAGTAGAGGATTCTCAATTAACATGCATAGCTAATCTTTCCACGAAGATTATGCTAGTAGGTTAATGGGACATTACTTCCAAATCAGCTAGTTGTTACAAAATAGACCATCCTAGTGCGGCTTAAGCTCTTGGTGAACAAATCAGTTAGTTGGTCTTTTGACTTCACATATGGAGTCACAATATCACCACTTATTACTTTTTCTCTCACAAAATGGTTGTCAACTCCTGTATATTTCACTTCAGAACTACTTTTAGCAACTACAATTTGTTGCTTACTCTCCAAGTGATGAGGTTTTCACACAATAGGGTATAGTAACTTGTAGTAGATTTCCTATCCATTGGTGACCCTGTTCAATCAGCATATATGTACCCTTTAAATTAGAAGAATAAAAACATTAGAGTTCCCTATCAGGCAATTTAAATGGTTGGACCATTGTTACATAGACGTCTTTAAAGTGAGTGTTCATATTCTTTGAGAGTCAACATGGTTAACATTTTGGTAAATCTCCCTGATTCAAACCATAGTTGAGTCTGTCGTGTATTTTGGAGAGTTGGAAATGAGTTGACGTGTATACAAACATTTACTTCCAAGTCCCTTCCAAAGGTGGGGATTCCATGCAACACCCAAATTGATATAAAAAAATATTTCCATACCTTTGTAGAGAAGTTGCACTACAAAAAGAGATGATTTAACTTCACTTCTTAGGAAAATGATACACAAATGTAGAGATAAGAACCCTCAACTTTCATCTTTGAAGTATATCATTGGTGCTAATTATCCCCGTAAGAGTTTGCCGTAAAAAATTCCTAACCTTTGTAGGCACTAGACAAGCCTAGAGTGACCTACCTAGAAATGGTCATCGGAGGAAACACTTCAAGGGCCTTGAGAAAATAAGAGCAAGAGAAATGAATTCATCAAGATCAGTGCTTTAAAAGCAAAAGGCGCAAGGGCCATTTTGCGCCTGAGGCGCAAGGTGAGGCGTGCGCCTTTTTGAGGCAAGCTGCACAATTTTTTAAAAAAAAGCTAAAAAATAAAAAAATTCTAAAGAAAGCCAAAAAATTAAAAAAAATGCAAAAAAATAAAAAAAATTATAAAACATAATATGTAAAGAATATTCAAATGAGAATTTAAAAATGAAATTAAACATATAAAACATTTTCAAGCATATATAACCCACAATCTCTTTTTTTCTCAATTACATAAAGTAGCTAATGTGACATATTACATTCCTAATTCTACGAGCCGCCTTTGTGCCAAGCCCCTCTTGAATGGGTTGCGCCTAGGACTTGGGCAAGGCACCTACCCTAAAATGAGCCTAGAGGCGTGCCTTTTAAATCACTGATCAAGATCCCACACATTGATCAGGACCACTAGAAGATAAGAAAATATGTTACAATGTTTCTGAAAGGAGATTGACCTCAGCACATTCTTTCAAACCTCTCCCATAACAAATTGGTGAGGGTTGAGATGAGTGTTTTTATTCAAGGAAATAAAGTACAATCTGGGGAAAGGGGAGAACAGGAGCTTAACCTGCACCTTGGTATCCCCCCAGCCTCTATTGCCAGAATGCGTCTTTTAAATCACTGATCAAGATCCCACACATTGATCAGGACCACTAGAAGATAAGAAAATATGTTACAATGTTTCTGAAAGGAGATTGACCTCAGCACATTCTTTCAAACCTCTCCCAGAACAAATTGGTGAGGGTTGAGATGAGTGTTTTTATTCAAGGAAATAAAGTACAATCTGGGGAAAGGGGAGAACAGGAGCTTAACCTGCACCTAGTATCCTCCCAGCCTCTATTGCCAGAATGCGTGTGATAACTGATATATCTCAGAATGGAAGGGTTAATGGCCTCTATAGCTTTCCATGGACACCTATGAATAACTCTATTAGCAGAGTTAGAGTCCCGGCCATTCTGGTTGCAATGCATGCTCCAAGTAACTGAATTCCATAAGGAATTAGTCTCAATTGGTGATGAGCTCAAAAATAAGGAAAAAAGGACAGAAATGTGATTGTATTCTGTATTTGTATGTTTTTTGTAGTAGGATCCCAAATTGTTGTTTTTGAGTAGCTTTGTTGACAGTTTGTGTCCAGGGGTATTTTCATCATTTTTATAATTCAAATTCTGCTCAGGGGAAGTTGCATGCACATCTGTTGGGCATAGTTTCGAGGCGCCAAGGCGAGGGTAGGCAACAGGGGCGCCTTGTCACCTAGTTGGCTAGGCGTCATGCTTAGGCGATGGATTTTTTTAAGTATAAAACATATATCCTAGGGTAGTTCCCTAGGTTCTATATATTTCCTTAATAATATCCATAATCTTCATAAGAAAAGTATAAACTTCATGTTAAAGTAAAGAAAATCAACATATTCCAACATATTCATGAGAAGAAAAATAAGAAAGAAAAGAAAAGTAAAAAAATATAGGTTTTGAACCCCTATTTCTGTTATAGGAAAAGAAGAATGTTTGTGTTGATTAGACAACATTGTAAGTTCTTCCTTACTTATCAATTCATGTTATGAAGTCTTTGATGGTTCAATACAGCATTTAGCAATGTTTGTGTTGATTAAGCCCTTACAAATAAGAAAATAATAAAAAGAAATTAGTATATAAACACATGAAATGATATATTTTAGTTTAATAATGTCTATTTTATAATTATAACCTCAAAAAATTAATAATATATAAGTTTTTTATAACACACTACAAAACTGCTTGGCGATTAGGCGAAGCGAGCCCCCAAGGGCGCCTTGTTGCCTAAATGCCCGCCTTGACAACTATACTGTTGGGTTTTGGTCGCTTGGGTCTTTTTGTAACAAACATTATCTTTTGGGGGTTTGTTTGAAGTTATGTTTAAATATTTTAATTGGCTTCTCCAGCAAACCATGGAGTCTTTATAAAAGAGAAGGGAGCTGTTTTTGTAGGGATTTTTTTTGGTTCTTTCTCTCTTGTTTGAGCTGTAGCTGAGCCCCAACTAGGGTTTTCAAGTATTGGGAGCTTGGGTTTTGAGGAGTCAACCTATTTTGGCACCTTCCAATCCCTCTATCGCTGCATGTTTGTGCGAGAGGCCAGCTTGATGCCATTGTTACTGTAGCAGGACTATTTTAGGAGGAATTCTACTTTAGGTTAAAGTCTGAAATCCCTAAAACTCCAACTTATTTTTTGGTTTACAGCTTGGTATTTTTGTGCTTATTGATGTACACTTGAAGTGCTGCATGTTACTTGTTTTTCTGCCAATATCAATTGGAAATCTCCAAAGCCACTTTCCCTATAGGGCAATGTTTTGTCCTTCACTCTCCATATCTCAAACCCCCACCTGAATTCCTATGGGACACACCCTTGTTGCATTGTCATATTTAAGTCTGTCTTTGTCAATGCAATATACATGCTACACAAAAACTTAACTACTATCCTCATTTGTAATAATGGAGTAGACTTGATGAAGGAAGCTCATCTGTATTAAGGATCTAAAATTTTAAAGTTTGTACTCAGGATTTACCTCAAATAGAATTTCTAATATTCTATTTTGTTCCATTAGTTTCCAATTCTTCTCATCTGTGTCATTGGTACCCAAACTCACCAACTGGTATTAATCCATCTCTTCCTACTCTGTAAAGAATCGTGTAAAACTTGGATAGCCTCATATCCCTTTGGCACAGTTGTGAAGTAAAGATGGAGATGAGACCCTTTCTATGTTTTTATGTTGACAATAGGTTTCAGCAGTAGTCTCCATATTTGTTTAGCAGTCTCAAAACAATAACCCTTTACTAATCTTAGGTTGCATGAAGTGAAGAAAACAATACATAATAATAAAGTTCTTAAACTCCTACTTTTCAAAATGCATTTGTGGGATCAAGTATCTGTGTGAGGTATCCCATTTTCCTATACCACATACATTTTCATAGCCCGGATCATTTCAAAAATTACTACCACCCAACTTCATTCTATGATCTTCTGACTAAGATTTTGTCTGAAGCCCCCAATTAATGTTATTTTGGAAGAGATCACATCGGGACCTAACATGATGGATACATTTTTAACCAGTTCTTCAGAACCTTTGCAAATAAGATGTCAAATAAATGGTACCTATGAACAACACTTGGACAGGTGCTGAATGGCCAACTGGAAAAGTACCTCCACTTGAAGCACGATCAGAGTGTTAGAACTAATAGTCTTAGTTGGAAGTTGATGCTGTTAGTGCCCAATGATTTCCATGGTTAGAAAGATAGATCTCTCAAAAATTCTCTTATCCCCATTTGGCTTGATTGTGATTTGATAAATTCTCAAGAGCCATTAAAATCTTTAAGGATATTAATAATAGAACCTCAATATAAACCTCTCAATAGGCTGACTTTGACCTTAGGCAATACTCTGTAACTTGAAATTCAATTGTTTGACTGTCAATTACGAAACTATTCTCTTTTGATGATTTTGGGACTATATGACTGACATTAAGATGGCTGATTGGACCTCGATATTGGATAGCTTCAGGAAGGGATAAGGTTCTATCTTCTATCATTTCTATGCTTTGTTGCAATCAGTGACTCGAATGGTTAGTTTCCCTAACCTTGAAGCAAGTGTAGTGTGCCTACCAGCTTTTACTTTTATTTACACATATATGTATATTTTGATCTGTTGCTAATTGGAAAAAATTCTGTACCCTGAAAGTTCATATCATGTTATGGTTCATTTCAGTTATAAAATGTAGGGCAAATTGTGGATTGCTGTTTGTCTGTCTTTGTTCACCATACTATGTTTTCCTTATGATTTTTTATTTGGATGAAATTTTTTACCATTAATTATATATAATTCTCTTATTAAGCATGGTGATAGTGTATTCTTTATACCAGTTACAGTCAGCTTAATATATCAGATATCGCACGGAAGGCATTTCTTCAAAGTGTATGTTCTTTATTCAAGTGCTATCCTTTTCAAATGTGGTTTTTGTTTTAGTAGCTCAACTGCCCATCTGTTCTATATGTACTAAAACAACATTGTTCATGCTTTCAGTGTTCTTTTTTGTGTTTTGTTTTTTTTGGTTTTCCTTTTTTTCTCTAAAAATATTGAGTAAACCTATTAAACAGTATCAACATCAGTACCCTACAGAACTGTCTTCAGATGTTTTGTTCTCCCATGCATAGCTCTCTTTCTCATTCTTGACTCTCTTTTCTATGGTATTCGTTGGTGTCTCTTCAATTTCTTTGACACATCCAACAAGACACAAAAGAGAGGCAGAATACATAAAAAGGTCATGATGATGTCCTCTTTGTGAGTGTTGTTGACGTTCTCATTCTTTTGATACAAAAATATAAATAGCAGTTAAATTGATTGGCTTGGTAATGGTCTCATAGAATACACCAGTTATGTCAATTGTACACCACCTTTGTTAACTAACAAAATTTAGTTAATAAAATAGGGGTCATTTTCTTAAACACCCAGTGTGATTTAACGTATTTAGTATTAACTAAAACCTACCTTTCTATTTGCATATTACTGAAACACCCCTACAAGTTGAACAAACTTTAATTAATTGACCTTTTCTATAAGGAACTGTTTCTATTTTCATTTGGGAATGGTTACTTGCCCTCTTAAAATGAGTATAAAATGTGAAAGGACATAGGCCTAGGGTTTTTTATTTTGAAAATACCCCTGGCCTCTCTCATATCAACCTTATAGAAACAAAACCTAGGGGGTAAAATCAACATTTTGCTTTTTAGTTTCTTTTGATTAAATTTGGTCATGCGGACATTAAAATGTCATCTTCTACTTCTGTCTTCAAATAACAGTAACAAGTAAAATGGTTGGAAACTATGGGGGAATGTCTTAATAATGTGCATACTTATAACGGTGGAAATTGGGCGATTTGGGTTGAGCTTCAACCCATCCCATCTAACCCGCCAACCCATTAATGACCTAGTTATATAAAATTAAATGGGTTGGTTTCAACCCAAACCCGCTTTAACCCAATCCAACCCGCCCAAACCCATTTATCTTATATTTATGGATTTAAAAACAAACTAACTCTTTCTGAACAAATAAGTTGGTCATAGCTTGGTGGTAATAGTAGTTACCATTTACAAGGGTAGAGCTATTAGCTGCTGTAAAAGGGGTGCAATTTGCTAACCAGCTGGGGGTACAACACCTAATAATCGAGGGGGATTCCAAAGTGGTGGTGGGTTGGTTGAAAAATCCTGAAGAGGCTATGTGGCGTTACAAGAATGAAATGAAGAAATTCAGTTGGTTGACAAGGAATATGTTGGTCACTGTACAGTGGGTGGGGAGATTAGCAAATATGTTGTCAAATGTGTTAGCCAAGCAAGGGGTAAATAAGGAAGAATTGTTTTGGCTCAGCTGTGATTCCTATTTTTCTTTCCTAGTTTACTTGTAAGATTCGAGGAGGGGCTGCAGCTCGCGCCTCTCCCTGTGATGTTGTATAAATTCACTCTAAAACAACTTCTGAACTAAGAAATTTATTATCATTCATCAAAAAATAGTAGTTACTATTTACACAAGTGGTGAAGGTTCAAATCATATTACGTGCATGTTATTTTTACACAAGCGGCAAAGCCATTTGACTATGTTCGGATTTCGGGTTTGATCGAACCACTTAGGTTCAAACCGGTCAGACCAACTTGAACTATCTAATTGGATTTTCTTCAAGCTAATCACATCAAGTGTGGTTGAACTGTTTAGATCTGGATCAGTCCGGTCGGACTAGACCGGACCGGTTCAGTCAATGGTGGATTGACTTGGACAGGCCAATATCGGGTTTGTGTACGGGTTTGGGACTGAACTGACTAGCCCAAATCGGGTCACCGTAATTAAATCGGGTCGGTCCGGATTCGGGTCAAGTTGTGTGGATATTGGTCTGAGCGGACGGTCTAGACCGGGCAAAGCACACGGACATCAAACCATCCCGGCCCCCGTTTCAGAATCGGGTTGACCAGGCGACCCAAACCGGGCAAAGCAAGCGGTACCGAACCATTCCGCCTGGGGTCTATTTTGGATTCGGGTCAACCCGGATCGGTATATGCTAGATCGGGTCAGACCGCATTGAAATGATCCAGACTCGGTTCAAATTGATTTGGATTTATGTTGGGTGAAGTGTGTTGATTCAAGACAAAACTAAATTTAGTCAATAATTAATAGAAAATTAATGCATTAATTATAAATTATTTAATTCAAATGAAGAAAATTAAAAGAAAGGATGAGGAATTAATACTTATGTCTGTAATGGTTAACCCAATGGTTATCCACAACTCAACCCATTTAAATGGGTGGGTTGGGTGATGGGTTGATCACACAACCCGCCAAGTTAATGGGCAGGTTGGGTGGGTTCAGTAGGTTGGGTGAAAAATTGCCACCCCTACATACTTATATTAAAATAGGGGTCCGTAAATACATTATATTAAATAAATTCAGGGGGCTCTATATAAATGACCCATAAAATAATTATATTAAAATAGGGGTCATCAAGGCCTGAGTTGGGGTTGGCACATATGATAGGGGCTATTCCCTAACCTGGACCCCAAGCCTAGGCTGTGCTTTGGGCCTATGTTCCTAAATACATTATATTTAATGAATATAATGTATATTATATAACATACACTATATGTATAAAATTTATGTATAATTTATATCTGTAGTACTATTAAAAGTATCAATGAGAATTGGAACTTTTGTTTGACCAAAATACGCCTATTTTTGAATTTGGTCCCTCTTTAATTGTGAGGGCAGAAAATGTAATTTGAACTACTATTTTTCACCTTATTTAATTCCCTCTCATTAAGTATTATATTTAAGATATTAACTCCCATCATCTTTCATTGAATACTATTCTTGACTAAAATGCCCTTATGTTTTTATTGGGTCCCTCTCTAATTGTGAGGGCAAAAAATGTAATTTAAACTACTTTTTACCTCATTCAATTACCTCTCATTAAGTCTTATATATAAGGTATTAATTCTCATTCTCTTTCATTAAATCCTATAGTTGATCTATTCTTTTCTCACTAATAAATTCTATCATTTTTTTCTTCAAATAAGTTTTTTCAATTAGATCTATATCCGATACTTTTAACAATATAAAAGCCCATGTTTACAACCAACCCAAAAATGACACCATTCTTCCATCCTGGTGATGGGTAAGTAATTCAACCATCCAAGTCAAATGGGTTAACTCATGAAGTCAGAATTAAATTATAAAAATTTAAAAAAATAAAAATACAAAAATAAAAAAAATACAAAAACTCACTAATATTTTATATTAATCATATTAAATAAAGATAAGTGTGATAAACAAGAATTGTTTCTATTGATGATGGAAATGAAATACAAAATATAAAGCTGACCCAAAAGTTAAATGGTTTTACTATTTGGTGGTAGGTCAATAGTACAACCTTTTAGGTTAAATATGTTATTGTTAACCCTTGATGTCATAATTAAATAATAAAAATTAAAAAAAACACAAAAAAGAATAAATTTTGTACAAGTCATTTGGGCACATCTCTAATATCATATATTTATTATTTAAATAAAAATAAGTGTGATAAATAAGAATTATTTTTATACACAGACATAAATAATTGTTGAAAATTTTGGAAACATATCATCATCGTCATCATCAGTTGTCTAAAATTTCCATGTGCAAAGCACATGTGCACTTACTAGTAAATATAAAATACTATATAGTATATTTATGTGTGATTTTCGAGGATGGGCTTGAAGTGTTAGGCCTAGGCCTGGTCCAAAAATTCATGGTCTAGGTTGGACTAGAAATGATCAACCTAATTAAAAAACTCACTTAATAATTTTATATTATAACTAATATTATAATAATTGTAGTTAACTTTAAGTTGGGTGAGTTTAAATTCTTTTCAATTATTCAAAATAAATTTTATTTAAAATAATTAATTTAATAATTTTAAAATTAATTAATAAAAAATTGTAATTATTTATTGAAGAAAAATAACTATAAGAAAAGAAAATAGTAATATTTAAAAATTAATTGATAAAAATGGAAGTATTAAATGGAATCAATTCAAATGATTTTAAATTAATTTAGGTAAGTGTAATTTCTTGACTTCTTTTTAACTTCTTTAAGAATGTTTTCAGTTCTTTTAGACTTGGCACTTGCCAATTAAGGTTAACTGGCTTTAGCATTGTTGAGAGATATATTGTATTTGGTTGTATTTGTAATATTGATAAGTTATGGACCTATATGTATTTATGTTAGAAAAAGGGGCTTATGTGTAATTCTAATGTATTTCGGTCTTTTGCTTATTTAAGCAAGTAGTTATGTGAGATTAGGGAGTGAGGAAGAGTGAGTGAAGAGGAGAGTAAAAGTGTGTGTAAGCAAGAGAGCGAGAGAGAGAGAGAGAGAGAGTTGTATCTCTTGTTCTCATAGTAGATATGTTTCTTCTCCTCCCGTGGATGTAAGCTACCAAGCCGAACCATGTTAAACCTTGGTGTTTCTCTATTTCTTCTTTTTTTGAGTTGCTATTTTATTTTATTTTATTTTATTTTGGTTGACATGGTATCAAAGCTTTTTTATGTTGTTTAACAAATAACAAGCATTAATGTACATATGGAGACAAAGTTATGTATATATACTTACATACTACAAACATACAAAGTCAAATCTTTTTCAAGTTAGATTGGATCACTTGAGGCTTCAATGAAACCTAGTTCAAAATAAACTCAAATTCACATTTTTCATCTATGTCACTAACCTAACTTTCAACTCAACCCATCTTTTCCAAATTGAATCCAAGCTAATCCAGTCCAATTTGCACTCCTATTTGGTAAGGTTTTGTAAGAAATGGGTGATTCAGACACAAGTTTTTGGCGAAAATGCCATCAACAATAACAAGAAATCCCACAAAATAGCCATAAAAAGCCAATAAGACAAATTAAGCAGTTATGACACTTCAAATTGTGTTTGTTATTGAAGTTTTGTCTATCCATGAATCCATACTACTTATGTACAAGAGTCCAAACTGGCTTAAGGTCAAGGCACAAGAAAAGATATTCACAAACTAGAAAAGTGTTTTTATTTGGAATCCATGAAAATATATTAATAAAAATTAATAATTAATAAAAGCTTACATCTTAGCAACTAGGGAGAAGGGTTCATCAAAATCAACACCTAAATCCCTTTGCTACCAGTTGAGCTTTAAGCCTTTCAACTATACCATTAGGTTGGAATTTCATTGTATACACACACCAACATCTAACAAGCTTCTTACCAAAAGGAAGAGGATCTAAGTCCCAAGTACCATTTTGATGTAATGCAAATGTTTCTTCTTCCATAGCTATTCTCCACCTCGGATTAGATAAGGCTTCCTGTAAGGACTTAGGTACAGAATTAGCACAAAGAGAGGTAACAAATGCATAGGCTAAGGGAGACGAACTTACAAGAGAAAAATGGCTAATAGGGTGTGAAGTACATGAATGTTTATCCTTGAGGAGAGGAATGGGAAGATCCAGATCCAAAGGTGGCTTAGTAATGGAGGACTTTGTAGTAACGGATGTTATAGGATATGACCACCAGACTTAAAGATGGCAAGGAAGGTTTGAGCCAGAGGCCTCTTCACGTAAACCTATTCAATAGGCGGCTTGGGATAAGCAAACTAAGAAACCTATGGAGAAGAATTACAAAGAGGAATAGGAAGAGGAATATCACCAGTAGAAGATTGAGAATTATTATTACTGGTAGGGAAATATGGAGTGGATTCATGAAAAATTACATCTGCACTAATAAAATGACGACAAAGAGATGGACTGTAGCATTTATACCCGTTTTGAGTTTTGGAATATCTCAAGAAACACACTTAACTGCATAGGGTTCAAGCTTATTTCACTGATGGTCAAAAAGATGAACAAAGGAAACATATCCAAATATTTAGAGGAATATTCCAATGCTGATTGGGCTGTGTCCATGATAGATATGAAATCTATTGAGTTATTGTACTTTTCTTGGAGGAAATCTTTTCATCTAGAAATTAAGTGAAGTGTAGTTACAAGAAGCAATGCAAAAATTGAGTATAGGGCTATGGCCCACACCATTTGTGAACTACTTTGGTTGAAACACTTGCTTCAAGAGATTGGAGTGGTCATCCCTAAGCCTATCAGATTATATGTGGCAATCAGGGAGTAGGCCATATAGCTTCAAATCTAGTATTTCATGACAGAACCAAGCATATTGAGGTGCATTGTCATTTTGTGAGGAGAAAAGGTCACAAGTGGGGAGGGGGACATTGTTTCTCCATTTGTACGGTTTGAAGAATAGTTGGCTAATCTCTATACCAAAGCTATAACTCGTACAAGGATGGATTATATCTCTAACAAGACGGAGCAATATGACATTTATGCTCCAGCTTGAGGGGCAGTGTTAGAAATTATATACATCAGGGCAGAATAGGTGTTACACCTTTTATGTTATTAAGTAGGGGTAAAATTGTAATTTCAAATTATTTTATGTTCTTAATAAAACAAGGGCAGCAGAATGGAGAGATTAGGAAACCGATCTCCTTCTGTACAAACCCTATTTTCTTTTCTCTTTCTCTCTTCATCTTTTCTCTATTCTGCCTTTAATTCTCTTGAATTCAGATAAGTTTTTCTCTTATTTTCTTCACTTATAAACTCTGTTTCATGCTGATTGCAATTGACAATTCAATAACATTCTGAAATCCTTTACCAAGTTTTATCATATCCAATCCTTCAAACTGCTTGAGACTTTAAATCAAATGCTAGAGGTGGGGAACAGGAAAACTAATATTGGCATAGTATTATGGTGGGGAAGACCATTTTGTCAATAACTTTCTGTTCTACTTACGAACCCCTAAAAAAAAACTGCAAAGAGAATCTCTCTTCAACAAATCTTTTCTCTGTTACCACCAACATTCCTTGCCAATTTCAACTAGTTGATTAGCACTGTTAGGTTGAAGAACCAATAAGGCCCATAGCTTTTGATACTATAAAGTATAAAATGCATCTGAAGTAAACATATGTGTTATCTAATCAGAACAAGAAAATCATGTGGTTTAAATACCATATAACTTGAAGTGGTATGACACTTTAGTATTTGTAAGTTTGTTATTCTCCTTTGTCTTTGGTTGTCGTTAACTTATTGTTGTTCATGTACTTTCTTTATAGCACTTCATGGAAGGTCATGCCAAAGATGCCCCAATATCTCGGTTGCCTATTATCACTATTTCAGATACCAATTATCTTCTGAAGGACATGCCTGTTTGTCAGGTATCCTAGGGAATGACAATTCTATGATTCTGTTATATTGCTGCTTTGCCCTTATCTTTTTCCTGAGTTTTGCTATTAATTGTACTTGCAGCCCTTCCATTTGGAGCTGAACTTCTTCAATAAAGAGAACCGGGTGCTTCACTATCCTGTGAGGGCATTTTATGTGGATGGCATTAACCTTATGGCTTACAATCTTTGTTCTGATTCAGATAATTTATACAAAAGGCTTTATTCTGCGGTAATATAAATTTTACTTCATGCAATATTTTTGTATGAAGGAATAAAGACAATTAGATTTTACGTTTGGTGTTCAATGTTTTATGATTAGACACCATGAGTATAATAACTTGTATATGTGACGACTGTGCATTGTCTATTTTCAGGTGCCTGGATATTTAGAATACTATTCAAAAAAGCTGCTTCACAGTACCAAGCAGCACCTGTTTCTTGTTGTTTTTGTGTTCAGTGGTGCTGCAAGTGAGGTTGTTCTTTATTGGGAAAATACTAATTTTCAATCATCTAACAGTAAAGGAAGCTCACTTAAAGGTCTGCCTATGTTTCTAAGTTTTGCATATTCTCTCTCTCTCTCTCTTCCTCTGTGTGTGTGTGTGTGTGCATTTTCACATGTGTATTTTCTCTATGTGCTCCTACCTCCGCTTATTTGTGTTGCGTAGGTTGTGATGCAGCATTCATTGGCCCTAGTGAAAATCAATTTGTGATTCTTGATGATGATAAGGCCCGCCTGGCTTTGTATATTCTTCCAGGGACGACTTCACAAGAAGTTGGTGAAAATAATGGAACACTTGAATCAAACTCAACTTATGATACAGATGTTAGTTCAGTTCGTGGTCCAATTCAGTTCATGTTTGAAAGTGAAGTTGATCAGATATTTTCTACACCACTAGGTGGCATGAGCAAAAGCTCCTTTATGTTTTATGGCTTTGCAGTTGATATTAAGTTCATGCTGATGATAGTTTTATTTTGTTATAGAATCAACTGTCATGTATGCCTCTAGTAGCAGTCATATTGGTTTAGCAATGTTGACCCAAGTATATCATTCAACTGATGGTGTTCAATATATATCAACAAAAACTGAAGGGAAAAAGTCAATCAAGTTGAAAGCAAATGAGACTGCCCTCCAGGTAACTAGTTCTCCAATTCATAGTATTCACTTGGCATGTTTTGGATGGGTCAGATTGGTTAAAACGAAATGAAATAGGAAGAGAACCATTTATAAAAGTACACCTACTTTAAATTGTTCTGCTCCTTAGGCAGCAGGATGTATAGATCCTCTTATTTGTTTCTTTCTTGTGCTTTTTGTGACTTTTACTTAAGTGGGGGTATATCTGTAATTTGTCCTTTTATTTATAATAAAAGAGTGGGGCGGCTGTTAGAGAAGGAACACAGAAAACCTCTAACAGCTGAACCCCTTTTTTCTTCTCCTTTTCTCTCTTCTCTTCTCCTCTTGCGTGTCTTTCTCCTATTCCATCCCTTTTTCTCTCAGTTTCTCATTGTTTTCTTGTGGTCAATCACATGGTATCAGAGCTGTGATCAATCTGGGTTGTTTCTAGTGGTGAACGATCAGTTTGATTGAAGGGTTTCTGGAGCACCAGTTGGAGGATCGACAGGGGGCTGAAAGGAAGTGGTCGCCCATTAGTCTAGGAGGCAATCATGACTCCAGTTGTGGTTTGTGTGTTGTGCTGGCAGTTTTCTGAGAAGCCCTCTACTTGGCAGTCCAAAGAGGTATAATTGTTTTTGATCTGTTTCAATGTAGAAACAAGTTGTTTGCATAAGAAAGTGATTTGTAACTGATTCCTGGGTGTGTGATATCAGCTTTTTTTTTTTTTCACTTTTGGTGGTTGTTTTGAACCTTTTTGGCTGGTTTGGTGGCAGTGAGACTGAAAGTGTGGTGACAGCCGGGTGTGACAATATTAGTTGGTGGCTGTTTGAGGTTTGTCTTCTAGAGCTTAAGTGAAGGTGTTGCAATCCTATGGCTTCAACTAGTGGTGAAATAAAATCTGCTGTAGGGTTACTGCATGATTACATAACAGTACAGATGACCTTTGTCAAGCTGAATGGTCAACACTATGTTTCGTGGTTAAAGTTTGTAGATGTATTTCTTATTGCTAAAGGAAAGCTGAAATATGTGAAGAAGGATAAAGCCCAAAAGTGGTACTGATGGGTATAACGAATGGCTGCATGAGAATGCATTGATTATGACCTGGTTGGAATAACATGGAGAACCACATTAGCGTAAAACTTATGTTTTTAGACGCTGCAAAAGAATTAAGGGATCATGCCAAACAACTATATGCAGGCCAGGATAATGTTACAAGGATGTATCAACTGTATCAAGAGTACTTCACACTTCAGCAAGGTGACAAAAATGTTGAGGAGTATTATGCTACTCCTAAAAATTTGAAGAATGAGGTGAATGTGTATCAAGCTCTATCTACAGACCTGAAGGTGCAGCAACAACAAAGGGAACACCTTGATGTAGTTCATTTTTTGTCTGGTTTGAGGGATGAGTTTGAACCAGTCTACACTCAAATTTTGGGAAGTAGTGATCTCCCATCCCTTTTAGAAGTCTTTTCCCATATTAGAAGAGCTTCCAATTCACATGGTGAGAACAGTCTTATGTCTGAGAGGTCTGCCCTGGTTGTGAGTAGAGGTGGTTGTACTAGTAGAGGAGTATGTGGTAGAGGTACAGTGAGGGGTGGGAGCTGTGGAGTTCAAGGTGGTTGTGGTGGTGGATGAGGTGGAGTATGTGAGTGCAGCCACTGTGGACTTGAGGGACTCGCAGTGAATTTTTGCTATGGTTTACATGGTCCACATCTACTTGGGCCAATCATGCTTCGGCTAGAGAGGATCATGGGGTTGGTGATCAATCTGGATCTCCTACCCACAGGACACTACATCCGTACATCGGGAACCTCACCCATGAATACATGTAAATATGGAAGATGTTCCCAATGTACAGCTGTAGTGTCCTGTGGATAGGTATGGGTAGGAGATCCAAGCTCATTGGTGATGATATCATTACTGCCCTTTCTTCTAGGAAGGAAAAGGAGCTGATATCCTTCATATGAGAAGAGCATGAAAAACTTCTTTTGTTTTCTTCCTGTAACATTGCCACCCTTGCCAAAACAGGTATGGCTTGTCTTGCTTCTTCCAAATCATGGGTCATAGATTCTGGAGCCTCTATCTCTCAGTCTATTACATTGGTTGATGGTATCAGTGTATCACCTTCTATTTTGAATGTTGCCAAGTTTCTCTTTAGTCTTATGTCTGTTAGTAAATTAACTAAGACTCTCAATTGCCCGATCTCATTCTTTCATTCTTATTGTGCCTTTTAGGATCTCAAGATGGGGAAGACGATTGGTGGCAGGCATGAACTCGGAGGACTGTACTATCTAGATGGTGGAGGTTTGCAGAAAGCTCTTCTGACTACCCTTATACCACTTAAATGGTATATTTTAGATTGGGCCATCCTTCACTTCTTGCCCCTCAGAAACTTGTTCCGAGTTTGGCATCTATTTCAACACTATGGTGTGAATCATGTCAATTTAGTAAACTCCATTGAGTGTCCTTTGTTCCACAAAGTAATAAGAGTCTCAAGTCCTTTTTCTCTTGTTCGTGTAGATGTATGGGGTCGTAGTCATGTTAAGTCTTATAATGGTTTTTGCTATTTTGTTATAATTGTTAATGATTACTCCAAGATGACCTGGATTTATTTAATGAAAAAGTGTTCAAAATTGTTTAATTATCTTTGGCTCTTTTATGCTGAAATTCATAATCTATTTGGCACTTCTATTAAGGTGTTTAGGTCTGATTATGCAAAAGAATATTTTTCTGGACTCTTTCAATCTTCTTGTTCACACACACCCCAACAAAACAGTGTGGCTAAATGGAAGATTAGACACTTAATTGATATGACCGAAGCGCTTTTGTTTCAGATAATCATTCCTAATGTCTATTGGACTAATGAATGCTTACATTGCGTTTTCTTATAAATCACATGCCCATATCTATTCTCAATTGTGTGTCCCCATTCTCCCTTTTGTTTTAATCCACACCTCCATTTCCTTTTACTCGTATTTTTGGTTGTATTTGCTTTGTTCATTGCCTCGATCATAGGTAGGATAAGTTGGCATAGTTTTCAAGGCACCAAGGCGAGGCTAGGTGACAGGGGGCACCTTGTTGCCTAGTCGCCTAGGCGATGAATTTTTTTAAGTAAAAATCACATATCCTAGGGTAGTTCCCTAGGTTCCATAACCAACTTTCTTTAATAACTATCCATAATTTTCATAAGAAAATTATAAACTTCATGTTTAAGTCTAGAAAATCAACATATTTATGAGAAGAACAAGAAGAAAGGAAAGAAAATTCAAAAAATATAGGGGCTGAACCCCTATTTTTGTTATAGGAAAGAAGAAAAGAAAAGGTGGAAGAAAAAGAAGAAGAAGAAGAAGAAATGTGTTGATTAGACAAAATTTTAAGTTCTTCCCTTACTTATTGGTTCAGATTTTGAAGTCATTGAGGGTTCAATACAGCAGTTATCAATGTTTGTGTTGATTAAACCCTAACAAATAAGAAAATAATAAAAATAATTAGTTTATAAACACAAAAAATGAATATTTTTCTTTAATAATGTCTATTTTATAATTATAATCTCAAAAAAATAACAATATAAAAGTATTTTATTACACAGTATGCAAAGCTGCTTGGTGGCTGAGCAAAGCGAGCCTCCAAGGGCGCCTTTTCGCCTAGGTGTCGCCTTGACAACTATGTAAGTTGGATCTCCATGCTAGTAAGTGTGTCTTTTTGGGTTTTATTCTCAAAGTCAGAAGGATTATAAGTGTTATAGTCCATCTCTTTGTCAGTCATTTATTCTTCCTGTTGTCTCTTTGAAAATGTACCATTTGTTCTCCCCTATTGAGCCATCAGAATCCCTTCCACTTCCTTTACTTCTTCCTCCTACGAAAGAGACTTCACTTGTTACCGTTCTCACTGACCTACCACCCCTTACAACTACCACCATTACGCCTCCTCCCCTTAGATGTAAACCAATCCTTAAAATAGGTGTAAACTTGAAAAATTAGAGAGAAAAAGGAGGAAGAAAAGTAAGAGCAGCAGTACAAGAGAAGAAGATGGAGAAAAGAGGAGGAAGAAGAAGAAGGTTCGAATAATCCTTCCCTTTCTTCTCTAATCCTTTTTACTAAAAAAATGTTAAAATAATTACAAGTATGCCCTTAAGTGGGTGGCCAGCTAGGCAGTGACATAAAGAGAACAAACAAAAAGAAATAACAGGCCCATTAGCTAACAGGGAAATAGAAAAAATATTACAAGGGAAGATATAGGACCCATTCGGCCCAGTCTCTTTACACTCCCCCTTAAGCTGAGCATAGATGTCAATCATGCCCAGCATGCTTATATAGTGTGTCATTTTCCCTCTCGGAACTCCTTTGGTCAAGATATCAGCCAATTGTTCGTCTGATGTGATGAATGGAAAACAAACTTCTCCTGAGGAAACTCTTTCCCTTATAAAATGTCTATCAACCTCAATGTGTTTAGTTGTCATGTTGAATAGGATTATGTGCAATATTGATAGTTGCTTGGTTGTCACAGTAGAGCATCATTAGCTTCTCATAGTTAACCCCCGATTCTTC